GGAGCATGGAGGATCAAGGTCCTGTAAACTATGAGTAGTCAGGTTTCAGCATAGACAGCTTCTACACTCTGTCCTAGAGTGATCTACAGGAAATGTGGCCTGAAATTAGGGTAATGGAATCTGGCCTAAAGCTACAGGCCTGTGTGTCCTAACACAGATGGCCAGGCATTAACAGTGTGTAAGAGGAAGGGAAATCAGAAAATAGCTGTGGTTTGTTGAAGAAGAGCTTAGCAGGGGGCTCAGTTTGTGTTGACAGAGGACAGAGAAGAGCAACTGAACAGCAGAGAGCTCTTGGAAAGCAAGAAATGTTAACGGGGGTGGGGGATGTCAGATTGTTCCCTACTCAAAGTTAATCACCATTGGTCATTATATTTTGATGACTAAAGTTTCCAACTATGACGTGGTGTTTCTCCAAATAAAAATCCAAACATGGTTGGCCAAAAAGATGGCTTACTGGGGAAAGACAATTAATTGCTACTGAGGCTGACATGCTGAGTTATTCCCGATATCCAATATGGTTCAGTGATAGATCCAACTCCGTCATGTCTTCTAACTTCCATAATTGCACAGAAGGATTTTCCCAAGCACTGAACGATAAAATGAGAAAGGAGGGCTGGGGAGATTGCTCAGAGATTAAATGCATTTGTTGCCCTTCCAGAGAACCTGCGTTCAGTTCCCAGAACAAATGTTAGGTGGCTTCATAACCAATCCTCTGTAACTCCAGATCCAAGGCATTCCAGAGAGTCCTGTGTGGTCAGAAGCCTCCTGCACACAGGTTTTACAGAACCACATGTATGTATAAAATAAAATAAATCTTATAAAGATAAAATGAGAGATGGCCCAAGGATTCTAGAGGTAGCAAATAGTGAATGCATCCCCCACCCACAAAATGCTCTTAATCGTGAGCAAACCTGAAATCAGATAAGTTGAAACATTAGAAGCTTGAGAATACAATTCCATACAGGGTGATTGACATTTTCATAAGCACTAATTAAAAGGATGTCATGTCACATTGTTTCTCTTTACTAAATTCTGTAGAACTACCAGGCACCCACACTGAAGCTAGGGATCAGCAAACTGGCTTAGGACATAGTCCCAAAGTTCTACGGAATGCAAGGGATCAAGATTCCTCTTTTCTCTTTAACCTCAGTTATTTACTTTTTTTTAAAAAAAATACATGAATTGTTGTTGTTCTTGAGTGTTTTTCCTACATATTTGTCTGTGTACCACCTGCATGCAATGCATGCCATGTCCAGTAGAAGCACTGGGTTCCTGAAAATTGGAGTTAATATTATGGTGAGCCACTTTGTTGGTGTTGGAAATTGAACTCATGTCCTCTGAAAGAGAAGCCAGTGCTCTTAACCAAGGAACCTTCCATCCATCTCCTAGCCTTCCTTCCAAACTGCTGGTGTCATCTGCCTCTCATCTTACCATATTGTGCTCTTTATAGAAATAAACCTTGCCGTGACTAATCTTAGATTCTGGGTATTAGTAACAAAGTTTGCATATGAAATACGTTAGTAGCTCAAACCTGTAGCCAAAAAATCTGCCAAACACAACTGTCCCTTTCCCCCTAGCAAGTTCTTGGACTGCCGTCTACCAGTCAGGTCTGCTTCTGAAAACATTCGTCTGAAATATCTGGAGTGATGGCAGAGTGGTTAATGCACTGATTCCTATCATATAGGGCCAAAGTTCAGTTCCCATCACACACATGGCAGCTCATAATCATCTGTAACTCTAGATCCAGGAGATTCAATGTCCTCTTCTGACCTTTGTGGGCACAAGATTTGCTTGTGTTTATAGATATACATGCAGCAAAAAAAAATGGTGTGCACATAAAGAAAAACAGAAGAAAGAAAAATAACCATTGGTATTTCAGGAAACATCTATGCATGGTCCTTACCTGTCTGAGACAGGGCAATGCTGGCTACGTACAAAGCAATGATCCTGTTTGAGAGCTCCGTATCTCCCATGCTGTAAGTACACCTGCTTAATATTGTGACAAGGTGTGGTGGTTTGAATAGGTATGATTCCCACAAACTCATATTTTTAAATGCTTGGATAATGGGGCACAGTGATATTAGAAAGTGTGGCCTGTTGGAGCAGGCTATATGGATTTATATGATCAAACTAGGGCGAGTTTAGTACACTGTTTTTCCTGCTGCCTGCAGATCAAGATGTAGAACTCTCTGCTTCTTCTTCAACACCATGTTTGTCATGATGATAATGTGTTAAACTTCTGAAACAGTAAGCCAGACTTAATTAAATGTTTTCCTTAATGTAAATTTAATAAGAATTACCATGGTCATGGTGTCTCCTTACAGCAAGAGAAGCTCTAATAAAGATACAATAATGAAAGTTTGACTTCTTCCTTTCCAATTCGAATCCCTTGATCTCCTTATGTTTTCTTATTGCTACCGCTAAAACTTCAAGCACTATATTGAAGAGGTAAGGAGAGAGTGGACAGCCTTGTCGTGTTCCTGATTTTAGTGGAATGGCTTTAAGTTTCTCTCCATTTAATTTGATGTTTGCTGTTGGCTTGCTGCATATTGCTTTTATTATATTTTGATATGAACCTTGTATCTCTAAACTCTCTAAGACCTTTATCATAAAGGGGTGTTGAATTTTGTCAAATGCTTTTGCAGAATCTAATGAAATGATAATGTGGGTTTTTCTTTCAGTTTATTTATATTATGGATTACATTGATAGATTTTCTTATGGTGAACCAGCCCGGAATCTCAGGGATGAAGCCTACTTGATCATAGTGGATAATTTTTATGATGTGCTCTTGGATTCGGTTTGCTAGTATTTTATTGAGAATTTTTGCATCGATGTTCATGAGTGAGATTGGTCTGTAATTCTCTTTCTTGGTTGAATCTTTGTGTGGTTGTGGTATCAGAGTAACATTAGCTTCATAAAAGGAGTTTGGCAATGGCTCTTCTGTTTCTATTTTGTGAAATACATTAAGGAGTGTAGGGATTAGCTCTTCTTGGAAGTTCTGGTAGAATTCTTCATTAAAACAACTTGGTCCTGGGCTTTTTTGGGTAGGGAGGTTTTCGATGACAGCTTCTAATTCCTAGTGACATAGAGGTCTATTTAAATTGTTCACCTGATCTTGATTTAATTTTGGTATCTGGTACTTATGTAAAAAAAGCCCATTCCTTTTGCATTTTCCAATTTTGTGGCATATAGGCTTTTGTAGTAAGTTCTAATGATTCTCTGAATTTCCTCTGTGTCTGTGGTTATGTCCCCCTTTTCATTTCTGATCTTGTTAATTTGCGTGTTCTCTCTCTGCCGTTTGATTAGTTTGTATAGGTATTTGTCAATCTTGTCGATTTTCTCCAAGAACCAGCTCTTTGTTTCATTGATTCCTTGGATTATTTTCTGTGTTTCTATTTTGTTGATTTCAGCCCGCAGTTTGATTATTTCCAGTCTTCTACTCCTCCTGGGTGAATCAGCTTCTTTTTTTTTCCTAGAGCTTTCAGGTGTGCTGTTAAGAATCTAATGTGAGCTTTTTCTGTTTTCTTTATATGGGCACTTAGTGCTATGACCTTTTCTCTTAGCACTGCTTTCATAGTGTCCCATAGGTTTGGGTATGTTGTGTCTTCATTTTCGTTGAATTCAAGAAGACTTTCATTTCTTTCTTTATTTCTTCCTTGACCCAGTGGTTCAGGAGTTGACTGTTCAGTTTCAATGAGTTTGGTGGTAGAATTGTTATTGAATTCTAACTTTATTCCATGATGATCCGATAGTACACAGGTGGCTACTACAATTTTTTGTATCTGTGGATGTTTGCTTTGTTACTGATTATGTGAATAATTTTTGAGAAAGTTCCATGAGATGCTGAGAAGAAGGTATTTTCTTTTCTGTTTGGGTGGAATGTTTTATAGATGTCTGTTAAGTTCATTTGGTTCATTACATCTGTTAGTTCTCTTGTTTCTCTGTTAAGTTTCTGTCTTGTTGACCTGTCCATTGGTGAGAGAGGAGTGTTGAAGTCTCTTACTATTAGAGTGTGGGGTTTGATGTGTGCTTTGAGTTCTAGAAATGTTTCTTTTACATATGTGAGTGTTTTTATTTTAGGGGTGTAGATATTCAGAATTGAGACTTCATCTTGATGAATTGTTCCTGTTATGAATATAAAGTGTCTGTCCTCCATCTCTTCTAATTGATATTAATTTGAAATCAATTTTGTTCGATATTGGTATAGCCACACCCACTTTTTTCTTAGGTCCATTAGATTGAAAAATCTTTTCCCAACCCTTTTTGCTCTGACATAGTGTTTGTCTTTGAGGTTGAAGTGTGTTTCTTGTAAATAGCAGAATGTTGGATCCTGTTTTCATATCCATTCTCTTATCCTGTGCCTTCTTATAAGTGAATTGAGTCCACTGATATTAAGTGATATTAATGATCAGTGGTTGTTAACTCCAGTTATTATTAATTTTTTGGTGGTAGATTTTGTGTGTTTCCTTTCTTTGAGTTGTGCTGGTGAAGGATTGTTAGATGTCAAACATCACACTCTTTCCACAACTGTTTCCTTACAATATCAGATCTCACCTGGGCTCAATGGCTCCAGGTACACCTGCCAAGAGCTACTCACATCTTCACTATCAACCTCATAGCTTGAGTGAGCTCTAATGACACTCTCAGTGAAATTTTCATCACTTCCTATGTGTCTTCTCTTTGGTTTGAACGCACCAATCTCTAAAAGTCTGAGGATCTGTACCAGGTGCTTTTTGACTTCAGAGATCTCACCTGTTCTAAACCCTTTATCCTGACCTCATTTCTAAGCATCCTTTGTTTCTCACGTTATTTGAGTATGATTCTTAAGAAGGGAAAAAGCCATCCCTGGGATATGGTTGGGAAGTGAGCTTTCAACTTCTCACATAAAGTGTGAGAAGCAGAGGACTCGATTTCTAGCTTTAGAAAGAAAAGGTACCTAAAAACCTTTGTGGCAGCCCCAGAGAGGCTCTTGGAAATCACACATTCATTCAGGTCACTTTTGGGTGAAGTAGTTAGCAGGGGTTAATAGCTGTATCATATGACATCAGCAGTCCCCCACCTGGACATTCTACTGTATCCTGGAGAGTCTGGAATTCTGTGATGTCACCAGTGTTGTGGCAACGCCAACTGCCCTTGAGGCATTCGTTCAGTGCCTGTGTGGTTCACCCACAGCCATGCTGACAGGACTGAACAGGCTGCTTGGGAGACAGGATGGAGAGCGCAGGGAGACCAGAGAGAGGCACAGGGAAGAAGGCCTTCAGTCTCCGAGACACACATCAAGAAATAAATGGTTCTGGGGAAAGCACAGTGAGTCCTGGGCAGGGGATAGAGAGCTTCCGGAAGGAGGAAGGTTTAAGTTGTTCCTTTCAGGTGTGGAACTTAGGAGGTGGCAGCTGATCAAGCCTTTGCTAACACTGTGAGGGCTGGAAAGTATTCTTCGGAAGGTTTTAATAAATATTTCAGTATTACCCATGTGATTTATTACTGCTCTGACAGGACACCCCAATTCCCTACCACCTCAAGCATTGTTTCCATCCCATGGATCTTCCCTGATGTGTTTGTTCACTTCATGGATCTGACCTTCCTTCCCCATCATCTTGAGCTAATGCCTTAGCATCCTTTATTTCTCATCTTATTGATTAGTCATCTTAAGGATGGGAAGAGTCATTCCTGGGCAGTGTCTGGAAAGTAAAACTTGACCTCCACACAGGATGAACTTGTGAATTAGAATGCACTAGATTCTAATGAATCAGGGAGACCTCTGGTTTGACAGGAAACGGTGCTAAATGGCTTCCACTGTGTCCCAGGGAAGGCTCCTGGAAAGGGTAGCTTGGTTTTTCCTGAATTGGGAAAGAGCTATCAATCAGATAGTCTATGATCCTACATGTCTTTTGTCTGGACATTTTATTGTATCCTGAAGAACTCTTGGCATCTTCTATGAAATCAACAGTGTAGTGGTAAAGCCAACCGTTGCCCTTGAGGCATTCATTGCTTATATGGTTCACCAAGAGACATGTTGACAAGACTAAGCACACTGATTGACATAGAGATCTCTGGTTTTCTAAGAAGGTGAGACTCAAATTGGACCTTCTAGAAGTGGGGTTTGGGAGCTGGGACCATCTGAAGCAATGGGCCAATGGGCTTCTTCTCTGGGTTCCTAAAGAGGCGACCACAATTGGAGGGTTTCTGATGTTTAGTTTGGCAGGGAGTTAGGAATGCTCAAGGCTGCAGCCGCTGTGCTGGGAGCTCCTTACTATGATTCTGGGTGGGAAAAAATGCATCAGGAGACAGTGTCACTGTGAGTCATCAGGGTCTAGTGTCCCTGACTTCATCCTCAGTGGATTTCTGTAGGCCCCATGGGTATCCAATGGGAATATCAGGGAGGAAAACTCCCCATCACTGCACTCAGCTCTGAGACATTCAGTTGCTTTAAGTCTTGGACACAGGTTAGCTCGTCTTGGAGGTACAGAGAACCAGGGTGTCAGGACCTTCCTGCATCTCATCAGACAAGAACTGACATTATTAAACTAGTATGACTGGGATAGCCTGTACCTCCCAGGGTCAGTGGCGCTGCAGTTGGGACTGAAGTGTTATGGAAAATTTTACTTCTTTGGCTTTCGTGGGGGGGGGGGGCTGCCACAAAGCTACCATATAAATCACACACAGAGGCTCATTCTTATCTATTCCCAGTCTTAGCTTGTCATGTTTCTTGTCAGCTCTTCTTGACTTAAATTATCCTGTCTACCTTTTTCCTCTAGGCTTTTCTCTTTCTTTTCTGTAAATCTTCCTTTCACTCTTACTCCATGGCTGCTGAGTGAGCTAGTGTCTCACCTCTGGAGTCCTCCCCTCTTATTCTTGGGCTCCTCTTTATTCTCCTCTCAGAGTTCAGCTTCTATCTATACTCTGCCTGCTAGTCCCACCTATCCCTGCTCCAGTCTTGCTATTGGCTGTCTATCTCTTTATTAGGACCATCAGGTGTTATAGATAGGCACAGTAACACAGCTTCACAGAGTTAAAACAAATGCAGTAAAAACAAAGTCAACACCTGAAAATAATATTCCCCAACATTGATGATATCTAGTGATAGTTATCGGCAAAAGAGACATGGGTTATGGGTCCCAATTTGAGGATAGTTGTTCTGTTCTTTGGGGTCTTCAGTGAGTTCCATGCACTCCCTCTTCCTCAGGCCTCTTCTGGGGACTCAACATGGTCTCTCATGACCCTGTACCATTTCACTGTACAAATTCACTGATGTTTATCTACCTACAGGGAGTACTGGAAAGGCACGGACCTCAACCTTCCTCACTGAGGAGGAGCAGCAGATGAACAAGGTTGATGAACTGACCCTTCAGCTTCAGATGATGACCAATGAAAGGAATGAACTTCATTCATTCCTGGCCAATTATACCAACAATGATGTGAACAACAGGTAGTCATTATGTCCAGTTCTCTGGTGACTGTCTTGACCCCCCTGTGTCCACCCCAGCATTCCTCATGTCACTTGAGGCTGCACCTCCAAGGTGTCCTTCTGCCCAAACTACTTTTCTCAAGAGCGTCTGAGAGGCAGAACTGAAGCCTGGGTAAAAGTGAGATGTGGACATGGGCTGTTCTGCTCCCTCGTAATGAAAAGCAGAGCCCATGGCCTGAGTCATATTCTATGGATGGGGCAGCAGTGTGTGAGCTCTCAACACACATTCCAAAGAGTTCTTGACAGGTGTTGGCTTGTGGGAGATGCTGGGTGCTGAGTTCATGGGAGTCTTTGTATTTGACTGGGTGATTTCTTGCTGGTTGTTCTTGGAGGATGGCCTGGTCCCACTTGGTCCATCTCAGTGTGTGACCAATAGACCTGGAGCTCATCTTGTCACCACTCTGTTCTTGTTCCTTGTACCCTGACATAATGTCACCTACCTGCATTTCTCTGGCATCCTACTTTTGTATGTGTTTATGTGTGTGAAGGGCTAACAGGCCCAAACATTGCCAACATAGCAGTGACCAGTTTTGCCCTTTTCACTTCCTCTCCCTTGATAAAACATTAAATTACATTCCTAAAATTTGTCCCCAAGGTTCATTCTCTTATTTGGCCACTGACTCAATCTTCAAGGCAAACACTATGGTTCAGAAATCAAAATTCAATATTTTGCTATTCTGGCTTTGCTGTCCAATAAAGTCTCACCAACTCATCCTAGCACAGACTTCCCCTTATCTCCTTAAAAACCCACTGATGAAAAAGACACCCATTGCTTGCTCTCAGCTCTTGCCTGATTCAGAGCCTCCCTCCAATTCAATGATTGCCCTGGGTCAATAAATCTCCCTTGTTCTGTGGTGTCTGAGTGTGTTCTGTACTGTCTCTGAGGGGTTCCGTTATAGTATGTATTCATGTGTGTGTGTCCAGATCCTGTGAGTAAGAGATTGGTAGCAAGGCTGAGGATTTGTCTGTCTCAGAGTTTCAGATGGTAGAAGAGCTGAGGCCCTGGAGGCCCACTTTGAGCATCCCTGCCCTCATTCTTTGTGCTCACATTGGTGACTGAATGGAATTCCATGGAGAGTTTATAAAGCCATTATGCTGTACAGTCTCCTCCATGGAAATCCTGATTATGAGTTCTGGGCATCCATATGATAACAGGCACACAGAATAGACAGTCCGTATTCTGAAGACAGGAGACATGACATCACAGGATTCAGGAAGGCCCAGACCCGTGGCACAGATGATTGGGACATCTTAAAAAGAGCTAGTTTGCTTCTCCAGGCCTACTGAAGAAGCTCGTGTAGCCCTGTCTGTCTCCCTCTTGAGTCCTGCCTTTCTGACACTGGGGCAGTGTAGTAAGTGTGATAAATATCAACAGATGCTAGTAATTAGGATTCAGGGTTCAGGATGTGACATCCAGTGCACACACCCTTAATATATGTGTTCATGGGGTTCTTTGTTCCTGGGCCCATGCTCTACCACAGGCTGAATTCTGAACTTGAGATCAGAATTCATCAGAAGGAGACATCAGTGCTGGAGAAATTCCCCAAGGAAAAAGAAATTAGTGAGGCCTCTTCCAAGTGCAAGGAGCTGACTGAGAAGACAAACTCCTACCAGTGAGTGTCTGATTTGATGGGACCCCACACTTCAGAAGGACAGCTGCTGCACTTACTTCTCTTTGAAAGAAAATGAGGGTTATGCTTCTAGCTTGTTTACCTTGTACTTGTCCTCCCAGACTGATTTCTCACAAGTGCAAGGAGTCAGAGAGCCCCTCCCAACAGTGTCCTGTCTGCTTCCAGAGTTTCTAGATAGAAAACATGGTTTGCACCATGAATGGTCTCTGGGACTCTGAGAGGGGCTTACAGAGCCTGTTGCTATGGGACACAGATGTGGAATGTATTCCTCTTGGATCTTCTATCCTCCCTCAGACCATGTTTGCTCTATACCTGATGATATTCTCCCAATACCATGATCAGTGTAGGACCTGTGTGTGTTGGGGATGCAGAATCCTGTTCTCAGAGCTACATCACCTGGATGATACTGGCATGGCTAATGTGGGCTGCAGTCTGGGGCTGTCTGAGGACATGGGACCTTGCAGGGAAGGTGGTATTAGTAGGTAGGAGTGGCAAATTAAGGTGGACTGGAGCTCATCATTGTTTGTGATGGTTAAACACCCTCCACAGCCGACTTCTGAGGGAAAGGACACAGATGAAGGAAAAAGTGGACATGTTGAGACAGGACAACAGAAAGCTGCAGCAGGAGCAGATCTTCCTGCAAGAGTCCTGTGAGGAGACAAAAAGGCTCTGTGAGGAGACCTATGAGAAGATCTATGACCTCTTGACAAAGCAGCAGCAGGTAAGCTGAGGCAGCAGGAGCCAGCAGCCCACCTATCTAACTGCACACACACATATGTACACCGTCATGTAACCGTCCACTCAGTTACCCAGCTGACCACCTGCATTCCATCACATAGTTCATTTCTGGGATCCTTCACAAGTTTTCCTGGGGAGGTCACCTCTTGGAAGACACAACCTGACTGGCAAACAAACAATCCTGCTCTGGTAGACCTGCAGTTCTTTGAAGGAGATAGGTAAATCACATATCACACACCTACATGTCAGTACGGTAGGAAGGATTCTAAGCCACATAGGAAAAATCCCAGAGCTTTTAGTGAGAGTGAGTGAGTGAGTGAGTGAGTGAGTGAGTGAGTGAGTGAATGAGTGAGGACAAGGGCCTGTGGATCATTTGCTTGGTAGAATAGAATATTTTTATTCTGCTTAAGCTACCAGACCAGAGCTCTTTGGATCTCCTGTCTCCTCAGAGGTAGAGCTTCCTATCTTTTTCTGTCTCATCTTATTGCTAAATGGTTTGTTAGGAAAGAAAGAGCAAGGACTTGGTGTTTTCCCAGAATTTTTATACATTTTTACTACTTTGGAATTAATGAGTTTTGTAATAAAAAATCCAAGCCTTAGAGCTATTTTAAAAGTAAAAAATAGACTTATTTCCTTTCCCCGAACTAAGGTAACCTCCCAGGAAATGTCTGGTTTATCTCATTGGCTTCAAACACAGAATCGGGCAGTCCGTTTCAATGCTGATATTTTGATGCTTACTCTATCATGCGCATGGTTATGTTTTAGTATGGATTCCCCTCATAGTTGTACAGAGAGCTGCATTTTAGAACACTCGGTGACCTCTCTAGGCTCCTACTGACTGATCTGGGGCTATTTTCATATTGTATGCCCTGTGTTATGGTCCAAAGTTGTTGGGTCATGACCATGGGTGCCTTCATTCTCTGGTGCTATCAAGGTCTTCTCTGGAGAAGCCTGGGTAAGGTTTCTTAGGAGACTAGAATGGGTCAGCTTAGAGCTATTGGGAGGCTTCATGTGCAGCCTCTTCCTTTGGGACTTGGTCTTTTGTGGTCAAGCTCAGGTGTGCAGAGGTTTTCACTTACAGTATGATCAGTGAGTCTTGAGATGAATGACATTTCTGGATGGGGAAAAAAATTCAGACTAGAACAGGAGCCTGACTGAGTAGAAGAGCACTGAGAGACAGCACTGAGGACCCGCTACCTCCCCCTGCAGCAGAAAATGTACTGCAACACTCTAGTCCTCTCCTCAAAAGGGTGTGTGTGTTTATGTGTGTGTGTGTTGTGTTCAAATGTATTTTTGTGGATTTGAGAATGTGTTTGAGTCTCTATATGTATGCTCACTTATGGAATGATGGACATCCTTAAGGATGATGGAGACCAGTGTTAATAGAAAGTACTGTTCCTGCTCTGGTTAGCCTCAGTTTGCATCTGTCACAGAGCACATAGAGCGGCCCATCTTTTGGCAAGTCCACACAGCTAACCTGCACAAAGAACCACAAAACCGATGCAGTTAAAAGTTTCTCAGGTGTTGTAGAAACATAAATATTCATCTGCAAAGAAATTCTTTGTAAAAAATCATGTAATGAAGGACATTAAGGTGAGAATGAGGCTGTTGAGGGAAATCAAGGGGCCTGAGAGCAAGAAAGCCCAGTTGAGGATGTGTGTCCTTCTCTGCTCTGGGTGAAAGGTAACTGCCCATGAACGACTTTTCTGCATCCTGTTTTGTTCTCCTCATCATTACCTGCTGCTATTTTCCCTTCACCTTTGTCTAATCTTGGCTCATTTGGATCTTGGATCTTGGTCTGGATTTTATCATTTAAGAGATTCTGAACTGCAGCGGTGTCCCCCCCAGCAGAAGTCCCATAGCCGTGCTGAGCTGTGAGAACAGCTGTCTTAGTGCAGCCCACTTAGGCTCATCCTAGTCTAAAGCACTCACTGCGTGTTGTGTCTGCAGCGCTCAGAAGCTGCTTTTATTCAAAGCTTCTTTACACTGAGATAAAGTTGGGCTGATGGGGGTTGGGAGAAATGAGGACCCTCAGATATTGTGAGGGTTGAAAAATGAGTAGCCCAATGCGAAACTATGTAAAATTTTTCAGAAGCTTTGTTTGCAGTCACAAGATGACCCTGTGATCCCAAAAGGAGAAGTAGGGTCCACAGAGAATTTAGGGGACACCTGGGTTACAGAAGCATTTCTCAGAGCAATTGCCAAACCAGAAAATATTCAAATGCCCATCATTGATGAGTAGAAATTCAGTGAAGTCAAGCCCTTCCATGGAATATTGTTAATCATGAAGTAATAGACGTACCCATTTTGGTCATGAATCAACCACCCTTCTGTTATTTAGAGAAATCCATGACTTAACCATCTTACTGCAAGAATAGGGTTTCTTTAACTCCTGATTGGAGAGTTTTCCTGATTTTCTGAGCTCATTCCTTAAACTCACTGGGATGAAATTGAGGTAACCCGTGGTTTAGAAAGCTCCTTTTGGAGGAAGCTGCCCTCCTTGGAGCCACAGGGAAGCACTGAGTGAGAAGAAGGGGCTGTTCCACCATCAGGCAGGGGTCCTGTACCACGGAACTAAGCTTTTCGAGGAGAGGACTAGAGTGTTGCAGTACATATTCTGCTGCAGGGGGAGGCAGCGGGTCCTCAGTGTTGTCTCTGTGCTCTTCGACTCAGTCAGGCTCCTGCCCTAGTCTGCATTTCTTTCCCTTTCCAGGAAAGTACAGTCTTGAAAACTTGCTATGCAAGCTTAGTTAACTGGTCAAGGAACCCTGACACCCACCATTTTGTGGCCTGGGTTTATAAGGCAAGCACTACATTGACTGCCCTGCCCTGTGTTCTTCTCCCATGCGTGCATGTGGTGCATGGACACACAGGCACACAAACCCCACATATATAAAGTAGAAATAAAATGAGAAATTATCAAAACAGAGACAAAGTACACAATCCTCACCACATCACCACATCCCTGTGCCTGCTTTAGAATATGTGGAGAGAGGGTGTGGGCTAATGAAATTTAACTCTCTTCTCTAGAAGATCCCAGGTGATCTCTTCTTCCATTCGTGTCACCTAGGAACTACATATGTGGATGCAATGTAGTGTGCTTGTATGTGTGCATCCTGTACTTGTGATGATCAGGACTGTGTGAATGTGTTTGGTTGTGTTTGTGTACAAGCATGCAGATCTGTATACATGGGTGCAAACAACCCTGACCTAAGAACACAATCCTCTAATGAATAGGAACATCAAAGACTGGAGGAACACCTTCAATTCTTACTGAAGCAGAAGGAACTGGTTATCCAGCAAAGGGACTTGGCAGGAAAGCTGCAGCATCACTTCACTGAGTCCCAGATGAGGTAGGAGCACGGACTGAGAGAAGCAGTTGTAGTCTAGTGGATCCTCTGTTTCAGGATTTCTGACCTTTTTGGGTTTTAGTGTATTTGGCAAGGTTCCCACCCACATCCAGGGAAACAATACCTCAGAGTATCGATTTGGTGAATCACCAGAAACTTTTGTTCAGGCAACAGTATGCTTGATTATGAATCTTCTAGGGACTGTGTACCCTTCTTCTCCTGTGAGAAGGAAGAGGTCAATTGTGAGGGACAGTATGTCCTCTGACACTTTATTTTCCTTCAAGAATATCACATTTAGAGATAAGTTTCTAATCTTTTTGCTGACTTGAATGCACTTCTGCTGATTGCAGGCTATCGGTAGGGTTCATCAGTTTCCTGTGAGAAGATTTACTCTGGCCATAAGCAGATTAGGAGTTGACATAATAACCCCTTGCACATTCTGGGCTGTAGGAATGTAGCCTTCTCTGCGGTGTTGTGTAGGCTCCACTAGAGGACCAACATGGAGTTTTACAGGTTGCTCACATTCACCTGGTATCTAATTAAGGCCAGGAGTATCTTTCCTGAAATGTGACTCAGATATTGATATTACTCCAAAATAATGGTTTTTTGACTGTTGAAAAATGTGCTGTTTTTTTTTTTCAAGTACAGCACAGTGTATTTTCCAGTTCAACTTATATCGGTTTTTAAATGTTGAGAAATAAAATCCATCCCAGGGACACTCAGACCCTTTTTCCCTTGGGGAAGCAGTCAATGAGCTCAGCTAAAAGACAATGAATTTTCTAACTGGTGAGGGCTCAGAAGCTGACATGGGAGGGCCCCACCAGGCCTCATTCCGAGCTGCCTTTCTCCTCTAGGTTTGAACATAACCAGCACGAACTGGAACAGAACACGGCCCAGGAGGAGAGCCTCCTGCAGATGGAGCTGCTGCAGCAGGAGCACTATGTGCCAGGCAAGTGAGCCACCATCCAATCCTATTCCCACCAACCATGGGATTCACAGTGTGAGCTTTCTTCCTTGACTTTTCTTTACTAGGGGTGAATAGGCCCTGATTTCTTTCTTGCCTGTGTCCCAGAGAGACTGTTTCTATGTCTGATTTCCATTTCTTCTCTGACAGCACCTCATAAGAGAACTGAGAAGCCTGGAGGAAACGAGAGACACCTTGAAGGCATGATATTCTACATTCCAGGATCCAGGCCACCTCTGAAAAAGCCACGTCCTCTCTCCTGTGAGCATTGAGGAAAATATCAACCAATCATCAGAGGATCCAGCCACAATCTGATCCGTCTCTGTTGGCTCACAATTTCCAGAGAAAAGATTGTATCAGAAATAAGCTTGAGATTCAGAGGACACCCCACAAATTACTCAGAAGCCAAACATCCATCAGCAAGTGGGCAAAACAACATGGAGGGAGATATGTGGATGAGCAAGAGTTATTCTGTCAAGGGCTTTGGCAAGGTGACTCCATGTGTGATGTGGAATCTGACAAGGAAGACTCTGTCACACTGCTATCCAGACAGACCACACACAAAAGCCCAAGATTCTCTCTCTAGTGCAGAGCTGACGCTGACCCCATATCACGTATAAGTGTTGCTGAAGATAATTCACTACAGAGACTAATCCACAGCCTCCTGGCTCATGTTATTGATTTGCTTTTTCTTAAAGAAAATTCCAAAGGGAAGTGGAAATTTTGTTTGTTTGGTTGTTTTTGTTATGTTTTAGATTGTTTTGGTTTGGTTTGGTTTATATCTTGGGATATCTGTTCATTAGTTTTTGGTTTTCTTCATTTTAGTGTAAGGTTTTGCTATGTTTTGTTATTTCATTTGTTCTTTCCATTGCTTTTATAGTTTGCTAAGGTTACACACTGTCTGTAATGACCACTGTCTTAAAGCCCCCATTGATGAAATTGATGTCTTATGAATAAAAAGCAGTTTCCAACTTTTTTTAAAGACTCTTCTTTAGGCAGGTGAGCTGTCACACTCCTGTAAACCCACAACTCACAGGCATGGATCTGTATCAGCAAGTTCCAGGTAGCTAGGGATGCACAATGATTTCCCAGCCAAGGTCTGCACAGGCAGATGGCACCTTGGATAAGGATACAGATGGCAAGGCCTACTCCACGTATACCCACTAGTCTACAGAAAAACTGGACATATTGCATCCTCGGGGTCATATATTTAGCTTCCAGTAGAATGTGGACACACACTGTACAACATGTTCATGAAATCATCATGCAGACCAAACTGAAGGGAAACACAACTAACTGTAGCAGGAAGCTTTCCTGTGTTCTGCCCAGTCGCGAGAATGCTTATAAATAATTACTTTGAGGCTTAATATGAATTATAATTGTTTGGTCAATGACTCAGGCTTATTCCTAGCTAGTTCTTACATTTAAATGAACCCATTTCTATTAAACTGTGTATTGCTACATGGTTGTGAACTAGCACTAATTCTCTGGCATCCCCCTACTCTGGTTGGCTTCTCCTAGACTCTGCCTTTTTTCTCTCTGTATCTCTGTTTGTAGTTCCTGCACAGCTTTAATCTGTCTTACCCTAGGCCAAATCAGCTTCTTTACTAACCAGTGGTAGTAAAACATATTCACAACATACAGAGGAGCGTCTGACATCACATAACTACATTGTTCCTGGCCTCACAGGAAAGGAGAGCATTCAACAAAGGAATATACAAAAGAAATCAGAACATTCAAAGCAATCTGCCTCTGTTGTTTTTGAAACCTGAGCGATAAGCAAAAATGATAACCGCACAGAAGAAATGTCCTCCAAGACATGTTGGGTCATTTTGTGGTGCTTGTGGGTGTTTTGCCACCACATACATGCAATTCCCACAGTGACCCGATTAGGGCAGTGAATTCCAACTGGAATGCACATTAATGACGTTTGTTTGCCATTATGTTGGTCTTCTGAGACAGTCAAAAGAGCTCTTAATGCATGAGCCATCTTTCCAGTCCCTTGCACTTGACTTTCTCCTTCCAGTCATACATGCTTATTAGTGGATTGGATCACCTTCAACCAAAGACAGAAGTTTCTTGAGACCTGTAGGGACAGGTACATGAAGTAGGCACATTAATTGTCTTAGACTATCACACATCCATGCAGAGCTCACATAGGTTCTGGAGTCTGCCCCAGAATCACTGACTGATTGGAATGGATTTCTTCATCTCTCATCTAGGTTGACAATGCAGGTTAGGACTGTCTAATCAAATTCAGAATTTGAGAACACCCTATTGGCTAAAGGTGGGGTAAAGAACCCCTCTTTTTTATATTGATTTTTATTGAGCTCTACATTTTTCTCTGCTCCCCTCCCTGTCTCTCCCCTCCCACTTCAATACTCTCCCAATATCCCCACGCTCCCAATTTACTCAGGAGATCTTGTCTTTTTCTACTTTCTCCTTCCCATGTAGATTAAAACTATGTAAGTCTCTCTTAGTATCCTCATTGTTGTCTAAATTCTCTGGGATCGTGGTTTGTAGGCTGGCTTTCTTTGCTTTATGTTTAAAAACCACCTATGAGTCAGTACATGTGATAATTGTCTTTCTGTGTCTTGGTTACCCCACTCAAAATAATGTTTTCTAGCTGCATCCATTTCTTTGCAAAATTCAAGCTGTCATTATTTTTTTCTGCTGTTCTCCATTGTGTAAATGTACCACATTTTCCTTATCCATTCTTAGGTCGAGGGACATTTAGGTTAATTCTAGGTTCTGATTATGACAAACAAAGCTGCTATAAACATAGTTGAGCACATGTCCTTGTAGCACGATTGAGCATCTTTTGGATATATATCCAAAAGGGGTATTTCTGGGTTTTGAGGAAGGTTGTTTCCTAATTTTCTGAGAAATCACCATGCTGACATCCATAGGGGTTGTACCAGATTGCATTCCCAACAGCAATGCCGGAGTGTTCCCTTTACCCCACAACTTCTCTAGCATAAGTCATAGTTAGTGTTTTTGATCCTGGCCATTCTTACAGGTGGAAGATGAAATCTCACAGTTGTTTTGATTTGCATTTCTCTGATGGCTAAGGATGTTGAGCATTTCCTTAAGTGTCTTTCAGCCATTTTAGATTCCTCTGTTCAGAGTTCTCTGTTTAGGACTGTACTCCATTTTTTAAAATTGGATTATGTGTTCTTTTGGTATCTAATTTCTTGAGTTCTTTGTATATTTTGGAGATAAAACCTCTGTTTGATGTGGGGGTTAGTGAAGATCTTTTCCCATTCTGTAGGCTGTTGTTTTGTCTTGTTGACTGTGTCCTTTACTTTACAGAAGCTTCTCAGTTTCAGGAGGTCCCATTTATTAATTGTTTCTCCCAGTGTCTGTGCTCCTGGCGTTATATTTAGGCAGTGGTCTTCTGTGCCAATGCATTCAAGTGAATTCCGACTTTCTCTTCTACAAGGCACATTGTGACTGGCTTTAGGTTGAGGTCTTTGATCCAACTGGACTTGAGTTTTGGACATGGTGACAGATATGGGTCTATTTTCATCCTTCTACATGATGGCATCCAGTTATGCCAGGACCACTTGTTAAATATGCATTCTTTTTTCCATTTGATATTTTTGGCCTTCTTGTCAATAATAAGGTGTTCGAAGATGTGTGTATTGATATCTGGGTCTTCTATTCAGTTCCATTGTTCCCAATTTAAGGCTGTTTTCAGTATTGTAACTCTGTAGTAGAGTTTGAAGTCTGGGATTGTGATACCTCCAGAAGTTCTTTTATTGTACAGGATTATTTTGGCTATCCTAGGTTTTTTGCTTTTCCATATGAAGTTGAATACGTTTGTTTTGAGGGTTTGTAGAATTTTTCTGGGATTTTGATAGGCATTGTGCCTAATCTGTAGGAACCCCTCTTGATAGTCTAACTAAGCAATATTATGAGGAGCCTTATGACTAGCTGGAGTAAAAGGAACCTGTATCAGGGGCCACAGACCTCCTGTGGAGAGTGTTTCCATGCAAGACTATAAAAAAGGAGAGAGATGATTGATAGATAGATAGATAGATAGATAGACAGACAGACAGATAGATATCTCAGAAGTAGATAGCTCAGAGACCCAGGGCAAAAACTTTTTTTTTATAAATCAGTAATGTTTGGTTTTATCCTAGGTCTTGGGGGCTATCTACTACTGGCCTATCAACTATCTGTCTGTCTGTCTGTCTGTCTGTCGATCTATCTATCTATTTATCTATCTTTCATATATATATACTCTGATTCTTAGTTTCTGAAGCAAGTTTTTGGTGTGGGTTCCTTCTTGTGGAGTGGGCCTTAAATCAGTTCAGACACCAGTTGGCTATTCCCACAAGTTCTGTGCCTCCATTGTCCTTCATATGATGTAGGCAGGATATTTTGTAAGTCAAGGGTTTTGTGACTGAGTTGGTTGGCATCTGCTTTTCTCTTTCAATAGCCCACAGAATACCTTCCCTCAGACAAGAGACTAGAAGGTAGAGATGCAGACTTCCTGTATGACCCAGCTTGACTTCCCCCACGCTCCATGTGTGGATGTTATCTCAGCAATGGGTCTCGCTGTCTGTTTCTGGAGAGCAGCCCTGTGTCCCAGCAGCAGCCTGGGTGGTTTGGAGATTTCTGGGTGGTTTCTATGGGGCACCCTTGGCCAACAACTGAATTGAATGCAGCCCAGTCCTACAACTGGAATCCCTGCCTGGTGAAGGAGATGGCCAGTTGAGACTCCATTACTAGGAGCAATCACTAGTGATGTGGGGGACTCATAAATGGGAGGACAGGACATAGAAAATAAACTTTCCCACTTAATGTGGTATTACTTAGACTAATACCAGATAGGAACATTCAGACCCTGCATCATGCTGACATGACCAAAACCAGGGGTAGGGGTGTTGGTCAAAGATGGTGCTTACTATGCCCTGAGTCTTAGGGTGATTGATAGTGAAGGTGATTTTGTGAGTCCACCTGAGACAGCATGATTGACAGTGAAGACTCCGCTACAAACTGTACTAATAGTTTTGAGTTCCTCCATGTCCGCAGGACTTAAACTAGGGAGACCGAAGTCTGTGTCAAGACATTAGCTAGGCTTGGGTGCATGGGGCAAGAAAGCAGCATTCTATGGAACCCTCACACTTTATTCTCAAAGGGGTGAGAAGAAATTTCCTAGCAGAAAGCTTTCCAAGGAAGATAGTGGTTTTCCCCTCTCCTACCCGGTAGATTCTGAGTACAAGGTCACTTAGCTCATCCCAGTCAATCACCTGGTACAGGCTGATAAAGATGGCCTAACTATAAGAACAAGGAAAAAGCTGACTTATGGTAGAGAGCAAAAGTCCTTGCACCCGTGCCAAAACAGCTTCAAAGATTCTCTTTGTAGTTATGCCTTTAAAAGCTTACCCCACAGAGGAGATACAACTCTTCTCTACCTCACTGTAACGGGGATGGAGATGAGTTTCAAACATGTTTGTATTATGCTGATTAAAATTTGCTTATTACGGTCTGGGCCTCTCTGGGGGTCATATTCTGGGCACATCACATTGCAGACTACATAGGAAGGACGATAATTGTCGTGACTCAGATTCTAACTGTGATTACTCCTGCCACAACACAGACACAACATGCCGAGCAATGAGCCCTAAAGTGGGTGCTTACCTAAGCCTCAGTAAAGGTCAGCCCTGTGCGGACTGGTTTCCGAGGCTTCCTTCAGTGTAAAGGATTTCAGAGACACCTAGGACAGAGAGGGCCTGAGGAAACAAGCTTCACTGGGAGCAGAAGCCTGGAGCAAATCCGGTCATTGGATCCAACCCAGTCCCAGAACACTGGCAGATCAGGACTGAGCCAGCGACCAGATCCAGAGTCAGCAATCTCCACCAGAACAGGTCCAACTCCAAGCCAGGGACTTCTGAAGGGGGGGATCCAGACGAG